TCTCTCTCTCCCTCTCTCTCTTTCTCTCTCTCTCTCTCTCTCTCAGGTAATTTTAAAGGCATGTGTAAACACATCGATCACTTTCCTGAAGATGCCGACTATGAAGCCGATGCATCAGAGTATTTCCTGCGTAAGTCAAGTGTGTGTGTGTGTGTGTGTGTGTGTGTGTGTGTGAGTGTGTATGTGTGTGTGAACAAGTTTATTTAGGCTTTAGTCATTTTGTTATGTGCTTTAGATCATAATTAAATCAGAGCGAGTGTTGGTCATGTTTGATTCTTCACATGTCTTCAGTGTTAATTTACCATTATTTATATACTATCATAGTTCTTATTTACATTTGAATGAGCTTTTATATAATAAAATATTATTATATTTTTAGTTTTCATTTTAATGTGTTCCATGTTTAGTAATTTCATTATGTGCTTTAGTCATTTTAATTGGGTTCCATTTTTATTTGTAATATTACTATTCAGGTCAATTGAATATTTTTAAATTGATTTCATCTTTTACTTTTAGTTAACACTTTACTTAAAGCCTTTATGCATAATACATTATAAAAGTAGTTTTAATGCATTAATTATAACGCATTGTACAATCTCATGAATAATTGTAACCACAGTTAATACATCATAACACTTATCAATTCATTGTTACACTTTTATACTGCATTTTAAATTTAGTTATAATTATTTACAAGATATAATGTATTACAATGCACATTATGAATAATTGTAATGCATTATACCCTTTAATAACCCTTTATAATGCATTATATATAAAGGCTTTAAGTAAAGTGTTGTACAGTAGTTCATTTATTTCTAGTCAGTAATTTTATTGCTTTAATTTAAACTTATTACAGATAGTTGTCAAGGTAACATTTATCATTTTTATATTTTATTGTATTTTAGCTATATATTTCAATTACAGTTTTTCCATCTGCGTACACACAAAATCTTTACTCGTCACACAATCTCTGAAAGCTGACACTCAAACACACACCAAATCTGTAAAACCATACACTCGACTTTTGACTCAGTTTTCATTTTCATAAAACACTTTTTGTAAAACACAACACACAGTTCTCTCTGTAACACACACAAACATCTCTCTCGATTTCACTTTCAAACACAACTAATCAAAACGCCACATTAATTCATCACTAACTCCTCACATGCGCTTCACTGAGCACCAACCAATCAATAAATAAATCTTTGGTTCTGTGTAATACTGTAATCACAATCACAAATGCTTACAGTAAAAATAGTTTGCTTTCAATCTTGTTCAGAAATGTTCACAGGAGCTCATGAAAGAAGAGCTTTAGGTTTTGAATAACTGTGTGTTTGATATATCCAAAAATATAATATTACGGCAAAGGTGTTTGCAACATAAAACAAATGTTTGCTTTTGAGATGCGTTTGTGATATTTTAAATGCAGTGCTTCGTTTTGCAAGAGATGCGAGGCATTTGGTATTTTGTGTGCAATTCTTGGATTTGTGTGTCCAGTTTTGAAAAAAAGAGGCAAAGTTTTGAAAATGTGTGTGTGAGCAGTTGAAAAATAAGTTTTTATTAATCATTTTGATTAATGAGAGTAACCCTGCGTATCCTGATTTCTTGTCCTGAGGACTCACAGTGATTCCAGGACTCTAATCTGATTGGCTGAATGGATTTGATTGACTGTTAGTCAGCAGGTCCTGCTCAGAACACACTGTGACGTGGATCAGACGCCTCATGACTGCGTGTGTGTGTGTGTGTGTGTGTGTGTGTGTTTCAGGTGCGGTTCGTGCCTCCAGTATTTTCCCCATCCTCAGTGTCATCCTGCTGTTCATGGGTGGCCTGTGTGTCGCCGCCAGCGAGTTCGACAAGACTCGACACAACATCATCCTCAGCGCGGGAATCTTCTTCGTATCCGCAGGTGATCTGCGCGCTTCACCAGCTTTACAGAGTTTTAAAATCGCTTAGACACTAACAGAGATACTTGAGGCCCACTTAGTGGAACCATTCACTCAAACACCGAATCTTTAGAGCAAGTCTGCAAAACTACAAGCACATGACATGCTTTAAACTCTTTGCAACACAGTTCTCTACATTACACACATCATTCGAAACTAACAGCTCTTTTGTTTCATTTGGGAAACACTGCCATTTATGGCTGTATATACAGTGTACATGTGCACATGCATGTACAGTATGTGTGCGAGTGCTATACATTTCTGAGATTTTCAACTCAGCATACAGAGTCCTAAACATTCGGCACACATTAGAATGAGACTAACACACAAACTACAACATTCACACAGAGTAAGGTCACATTAAATATAACTTAAACCTGAAAACAAATAAACTAATTTGATGGTAAATGACTTCACGAGTTTGTGATTGATCAAGTTATGCTAGGATAGCATGTATCGGCATGGTGTAAATACAATGTATTTTTGTAATGCTTAAATACACTCATGAGCACTGATGCTTGCCATCACTCAGACCTGATTTATGCAGAAGTGATGAAAGTCTAAGAAAGTAATTTGGTCATTTTGAGCTCAGCGTGAGTTAAATCATAATGTAAATCAGCTCTTTTTCCACATGCTGTACTTGAAGAAGAGGAACATGTCTGTTAACCCTCTGGTGCTGTTGGGTCATTTTTGACCGAAAAACTTGACATTATCATGGACATGATTCGAAAAGATTAAATGGTCCTGAAAAAAATAGTCACCCTTGTATTGTTCGTGAATGAGGATCGTGAAACAAACGGAAAATGTAAGCAGTTAAAAAAAACTGTAACATTATATCAGTTAATGAAATTACGGTATCCGTAAAACCTAAAATGTTGCTACCGTATTTTTTTTGACAGTAAAATTCTGGTGCTGTTTTTTTACCGTAAATTTTACGGATTTTTTTTTACAGTGTGTGATTGATGTTCTCTGTGTGTGTGTGTGTGTGTGTGTGTGTGTGTGTGTGTGTCGATCCTCAGGTCTGAGTAACATCATCGGGATAATCGTTTACATATCAGCCAACGCGGGCGACCCGTCCAAGAGCGACTCGAAGAAAAACAGCTACTCGTACGGCTGGAGCTTTTACTTCAGCGCGCTGTCCTTCATCATGGCGGAGATGGTGGGCGTTCTGGCCGTTCACATGTTCATCGACCGGCACCGGGAGCTACGCGTGGCTCGCGCTCGGACCGGCGGAGGAGGAGACTATCTGCAGGGATCCGCCATCAGCAGAATCCCCAGCTACCGCTACCGTTACCGGCGCAGCTCGCGCTCCTCCAGCCGCTCCACCGAGCCCTCGCACTCGCACGACGCTTCACCCGTGGGACTCAAGGCGTTCGGAGCGCTGCCCTCCACCGATATCTCCATGTACGCGCTGAAGACTCCACACGGCACGCCACCGATGTACAACTCCGAGAGAGAGCCGGACTTCCTACAGGTGCACAACTGCATCCAGAAAGACTCCAAAGATGCCAATCGTCGCACCACACCTGTATGAGACACAGCGCCCCCTGCAGGTGATGATGATCTGATGATGACGACGAGTTTACATGTTCCAAGTCTCAAAAAAGAAACGTGAAATGCATGATTTTCTTATCTTCCGTAAACTAACACGTTTTCAACCGCGTGAGGAATCGGAGCGACAGCGTTTGGACTGAGAGCTCTTGAAATCTCTTTTCTTCATGTTTGTTTCATTTTGTTGCGCATAAATACTGTGAATCTTCGTGGCCGCTGTGAACCCAGGGAATAGAAAACGATCCCACTAACTGGCCGCGATTTATATGTCATTATAAACATATTAATGATACATGACTATATAAATATATATGAAAAGATACATACATGAATATATGAACATTGTTAATAAACCACACATAGACTTCTTGATTCAAGAAGACGCAAAAAACAAAAGAGCAAATCAGAAGTCAATAAAATCATCATGGATAATAAGAGCCGGATTCATGTCGACTCATTTGCATGTGTTTGTTCAAACCATCCTCAAAAATAGTTGCTAGACTAGACCAGATTAGACCAACAAACACGCTCAGGCTGGTTTTTCAGCAGCATCAGACTCAGATCTGCTGCAGGATGAAGACGGACACTGAGTGTGTGTGTGTGTGTGTGTGTGTGTGTGTGTG